CGACAATACAAAGTACTTAAGGGTTTATTAATGCTAAAGATTTCTTGTTATAAACTCGATATTTCCCTCTTCCACCCTAGCAATCCGAACCTTGGAACCAGTGGACGAGTTGGAGGAAGCCATGTTTCATTGAGTAGTGACAAATAAAGGGGTATAGACATCACGTCCGACCCATCACGAGGCTAGTACTTAATGACCGCCTCTCTCCTAAAAGATACAATCAGAAATGTGTGTACTACAATAGTAACTATTCAACTGTACCTGCAATTTACGCAGCACTTTTCGACTTTCCAGCATTATTCTTACCGCGACCTAATGCTGGTTCGTTTTCGCGACCGAAAGTGAACAAGTGGAAGTAATGTAAGGCAAATAGCAGTGATACTTTGCAGTTATTCATGCCTCGATTTAAGCACCCTAGTAGAAAGCTAATAATTACCACGTTCTATCCATCAAAACCACCCATAAACTGCTACCTGGTTAACACTTACCCTCCGCTGTCTACCTCAAAAGTGTAATCAACCCTCACATGATTGAGTGATTTCAGTGCTTCATGACAATGCCCTGTCTGACAACAAATAACGCCTCAGCCATGGCTTTCCTCGTGTTACAAGTGGAAAACATGAAGACAACTTGTCGGTAGGACTAGACTCTCAAACTGTAATAACAGGTGTTTTGAGATATAAAATCATTTTATAACCAGTTTGCTTCAAATAGCCAAAAGAGGCTCTTGTTCTAAATTAAGTAATAACACTTGTCAATATTTTATCAAGATCTCTGTGTGGAGCTGTATTCGACCTTTCTCAGTTTTTAGCATTTTGATATAATTATAAACATACAAGTGTAACACTTGAGGCTTTTTGCCTAGCGCTTTTTGTGTTTTAATAAAATACCGTTACACTGCATTGGCTAAGTTTACTCGTTCGATCCCATAGTAGAGGATGGTGAGTTCCTACCCGAAGCACGCATTTTCCTCCTAATTTATTGCATCTCCTCACAAGAATGGCCGCTATTTATCGCCTCGCCTGGATGGTGGTGATGGGGGCTGTGAAAATAGCGTGTTCGCTAAACAGGAGTTTTATACCCCACATCTTCACCTCACCCTTACCTGCGCGCACACGCAACGAGGAGGGAGCGTGGACGCGGGAGCGTCTCCCTCACCTGCCAAGGCGCAGCGGGCAGTGTGCAGGCGGGAGAGCGCGCGCTCGTGTCCATGCGCATGCCATGGGGATAATCGCACGCCATTTTGTTTCACCCCAATCTCTCGTGTGGGTTTAAATGCCCGGATGCGTTTGTGTACTCGCGCCGTTATTTGAATTCGCAGGTGCGTACGTGATGTCACTCGCAAGCAAGAGGGTGGGAAGGAGGAGAGAGTGGACGACAGAGTTAACTTTAAGCCATCCCTCCCACCTTAAACTAGCATAATCGTCTCCCCTGCCTCCTATCTACCCTCTTACCCTTGCGCAAAACACTTCTTGGACAACCGATTTCGTGTGTGTCTGTGTTTGTGTATGCGTGTGTGGGAAAAAAGTGGTTTTGGGAGAGGGAGAGGGTTAAATTTGGATAATTAAACCTCCACTTTCTTCCCCTTCCCCATGGGTAAAAAGCCCTTTGCGTGTGTGCTCGTGTGATGGTCATTCAAATAACGCGCATGTCGTGTGTGTGTGCTAATGTGGAGTGAATTAAAAGTGGAGCAGACCAAGGGAGTAGTCGTTATGGGGATTACTGGACTTTGCTCCAGTGAATATAGGTAATCGCGCAAGTGTTTTTCCCTTATTTATCGTAGTATTAATTGACAAGAAGTGAGCCTTTTATTGATTGTTGTTATGCAACACTGAAACAGATAAAATAGCACCTTTGCCTATTTTTTTTAGGGCAATTATACGGAGCGCATTCAAGTTCTTCACTTTCTAGAAAGTGGTAAAGTGACAGTTCCGGTTATCCCTCTCCACAGACCATTTTGGTGTTCAGGTTTCAGGCCAGGCAATTCAACTTGTCATGTGTTTCCGCTCGCACTACCGCACTCCTAGTCGGGGACTAACACTTCCACACAAGCACCAACTCAGTATCTTGGGTTGTTTGCAGCCTTTCATTTAGTAAACCGTGTCTCGTAACAACAAATTGCTGAAGTGCCCACGCCTCGTTAGTAAAAGCTACTCCTCTTTGGTTCCATTTTGGGACCAAGAACGCAATATCTGAAGACGTGCACATCCATAACCTGCACGGGTTAAGTGTAGGGGATTTTCACATCCTCGCACAAAATATGTTAACAATGAACCCTAATTTTAAGACAAATAACATCGTTAATTCCCACACACACACACACACCAAGAGGTCTGAACAGCAGATTTTTATTTGTTTAAATTGATTTTACTTCCCAAACAAATGGGCTGCTTCACTGTGTCTAAGTATACTTACCTTCCTGTTTTTATCTATACCATATTTTAAATAAAGTTTGTTTCTGGTTCACTACAGGGAGAAATGAAACGGAGTTTTATGGAGTTAATACATCTCTTGGAAAAAAGAGATAGCCTTAACTTCCCCACACTGGACGTTGGTTTGCATTTTAGCCTTAGTGATACGCTTAATTAACCCTAAAACCACTTTCACGCATCCCGTCAGAAACAATTAAACTGAGGGACATTTAGGAGAGTTATGATAGTCCAATGTGTCATCCTTTTGCAATCAAGATCGCTTACTGTTGATGCCTTTCCTGTCACAACTGCGTGATTCCGCGATTGTACGTGCAAGTGGCAGAACCCTACCCAATTTGAGGGAGAATGCCTTGTTAGCAGAACTGGTATGTTAGGCAATATTAACTGCCTGAATAGATGTGCAAGTTATGTGTTGTGAGCAAAGGCACTCTGATTGAAGTCTAGCCACCTCCAAGCAAGTCGCCAGTCAAGCCTAAGAAACGAAACTCCAAATGCACGGTTGCTTTGGAGAGAACATTGACTTCACTGTCACGTGATTATACACATTTCTCCACCTAGCATGGCAACAAGTTGGCATCAAACGTCGGTAGGGAAAAACTAAGCGAATGGGCTTCTGTTTTCAATTTCATTTCATAAATAAAATTTTTCCAATGCACCACTTGACCTGGGCACTGAAGATAAAAGTCTAGTCATTGGAATGAAAGGAAGAAAGAGGTTGAACATTTGATTAAAAGAGTATTTTGCATTGAATCTATCCTAAATAAATCCACCTTTCTAATTCAAAGCAGGGAGTGAATTCTTTTAACACTCCTAATCACATTAAAGGATATGGAGTGCAGACTTTGCGATAAGACAGCAAGAAATGTGAATATTTGATGTTGATAGAAAATTTCGGACTCATAAACAATCCGTTTTATGTGACCCATCAAAGCACTTCATCGGACGTTTATAAGTTACCCAATTACGCGACTCCAAAGCCTCTACTAGATTTGATTGTCTGGTTCCATCGGACACTTAATTACCCCGTTTGCCTTTGAACGACTTAGGAGTAGGGCCTGCACAGCTAATTAAACTACATTCTACCTTTCACAAGATTCTTTTGATTTGTTAGCTCCACCGTTAAATGGTCAGCGAAGCAAGAGAACCGGATTTTCTGACTCTGACTTGAAACCATTCAATACAAGGGAATTCCCAAGTTAATTAAATGTTAAAGCCAGATTCTGAAGGTTATAAGCGCCTTAATAGATTAAAACTGCCAAAAGAGCGATCAAACTGGGTGAAAATGGAGCCATTGACTCAAATGCAATTTTGAACTTCTCGGACATTTTTAAAGATAGCTACTTTTTTGTCCAAAGACTAAGTTGGAGTAGGTAACTTTTTAACTACTTCCGGCTGTCAGGGGAAATTAAGCTCAGTTTGTTTTAAATGATGGGGTTATACATAAAACAATTCGATCGACAGAGATGCGTCTACAGAATCGTCTGCTCCAGTCGAAATGCGGCTAACGACAGGTAACAAATTTGTATAGTAAGGCATGTATAACAAGATCAAGAAGGTACGTAAAAAACTGTTTTAAGTTGGGTTCAACATTAGTTGATGCTCAAATACTGTCGTTTTCACAGTCAAATAAATGCATGTAAATTCATCATCTACCTCCATGCTTCATTGTTGTCGCCTTGATAAACTTCACTTCAAAAGTAAAAACAGATCAGACCACTAACAAATGGACCGATGAGTTTGAACTAGTTGACTTTGATCTGCAACCTTGGGTTTTACGGAACCCAACTGAAAAGACCGAATCGGAAAAAAACGGGGCTCAGTGGCCACTAATGAATGAGCGTCCAGACGTCAGCTCCACTGGCTGGTCGTCGTCAGACCACATCTCTATCCTCATTTGTTTTTTTTTTCACAACGATTAGTCACATCCGCAGCCTTGGACTTCACGCCTGAATTAACTATTCATAACACATAAAACACGGACATAGACAATTGACTAGCCAAAGTGCTGTTCATCGTTTGTGGCGCAGCAGTATAAGTTAATGATGAATAATTAAGGCTCATTGAAGGTACCTCTGTAAGAGTGAAATAATCGGGGCTGCTCACCCACCACCACCTCCCGGAATGAAGTTGTCACTGGGCGAATTGCTTTTCAACAAGATCATGATCCGCTGAACATTGTTCACTTAAATTAGCAAAATCGTTTCATTCGAAAGAAGCGATAATTAGTGAAATTCAGCGAGTTGTCCTTATGGAATAGAAATGGTCAGTTTTTTCACTAATACGCTTGCGTAGAGAGCCCACTCTATTGGAGAAGATACAACCATCAGACAAAAGACGAGTTGAAGTTCCGTAAATAAAAAGTTGATGGCTTCATCGCATCACAAAACAGCGTTCTTTGAGGGCAGATCCTCCACAATTAGCAGTATGCGTTCCGAATGGTCAATAAGGCCTCAGCTCTGCATTTGTATCTAAAACAATAGGAATTTAAACTTGGTAGAAAATTTAATGTAAGGGGATCCAAATTCCATAAAAGAGTAGGGTGGCCTATCATCTGAAAACAGAAATGTATCATTCCAACGCATCAGATGCTCTTTCATCCTTCTTGTTAGACTTTTTAGGTAAACTTTGTGCTTTTAAGGGAATTATTGCTGAAAACTCTGTGTGACGTCTGTATTTAACAAGAAAAAAAAATTCTGAAAGTGGGAATATGGACATGAACGACACACAGTTATCACAGCTACAAGTTACCAAATCATCAGGAAGGGAATTGAATGTTACTGTTGGCTAAAAAGCAAATTCCTACCAAAACGGGACTCAGCGCAGCTTTTTTACTTTCAAAGTGTTTCTGAAGTTGATGCATTCTCCTTACGACTATAGTAGTCTCGAAGGAGGCGAGACTTGACATCCAGGCTGGTAGTGGCCCCATCAAGAGCAGAAAAATGAGTCAATGGAAAGTACCTAAAGCATGAAACAACTCCGCAACACGCACGGATGATTCACAGACCTTGGTGAACTGTATAATAGACGGGAAGAGGAGGCAACAGAAAGGGAACAACAGTTGTTATAGCAACGCAGTAAAAATGCGTGAGCACCTGGGTACAGCTACACAAAAGTGTCCGTACGTGAGCACGTGCGTGCTCAGCCAGTCACAATTGCAGAGCCGAAGGGAGAGAGCGCCGTAGATGATGATAGTATTATCATAAATATATAAATGGATAGATGGATGGATGAATGCCTGGACAGCACTGATCCAGTAGGGTAATGCCACCAGAAAGGTATACGCTACACTGTTTGCGAAAAGCTTTTAATGAACAAATCTAACATTTTTGAGCCTTTTCCTACTCAATTCTGAAGATTGACTCCTCTGGTCCAATAAAAGACTAATCACCCGACTTATGCGCTGATGATTAATGGTAGCCAAAATATTGTACAATGACCCTCAGATAATTGAGATGACACCGCTGCCTGAACCAGTGCTGTTGGCATGGGTGTGGATGAGTAAAATGAAACCAGACGCTGAAAAGTGACGGTGGTGGTGATAATGGACGAACAGGCGGGCATAGTGAGACCTGAAAAATCCGGAAATGCCTAATAGTTGCTTTATTTCGTCACTAAATTGCCTTAATCCCTCCCCGGAGTAATATGAAAAAGTATTTGGCTGTTTAGCCACATCACTAAACTAGATGCAAGTAAATTTCCTTAGACAAAGAAAAATAATTACCAGTGTGTGAGGGTGAAGTCAGATCTCAGGCTGATTTATTAGACTCATGGGTCCTTGAGGTCAGCCTACGGGACAGCATTACTAATGGAGTCTATGCTACGGATGACGGACAAAAATTGTATGTTAGCATTCAGTTCTGATCAGCTCGTGCCTCTAATGTCATAAGCGTTGGGTTTGACTGTTCTTTGAGCACAATGGGTCAATGCCCGCTTAAGGTTCCCTTGGACCTAAGTTAACCTTATCCAATGGCAAGGCGAATGGTAATAGATCGGTACAAGAATATAACTAATTCTTAAATATGCATTTCCTCTTGGATATGTAGTGAATCAGAATTGGATTCTACCGAGTGGCACTACTGGAAGCCTTTCAATGTATAGCATAAATGAATCGGGTTAACACTAACGGGTCCCTGATTTTCGCCATTTCAACAGGAATTTGAAAGAGGCAGAACATCAAATGGGCAATTTGAGGTCAATTGCAGTACAGTATGCTCGAATCTGCTTTAAGAGAGAGGCACTAATAATTACCACTGCAAACTAGGAACAAAAAATTGAGAGAAAGACAAAATTATTAACATGGCCAGGATGGTTTGAGGTGTGAGCTTGTCAGAACGCGTTTTCCTTTGCAAGAAGTTGACGAACCAGAATTTATTGCTTTTGAAGGTACAAAGGTGGCACATCAACCGCGCCCCCTCGTCTGTGCGTACCCCCGAGTGGAGGAAATTGCTGCTGCTCCAGTTTGCGTATGCTTACTCAGTGCACTGACTGCATCAAAGAAGAATACATCCTTAAGACCCATCTCTCAAAAATAAAACAATGAGATTCATGTGCCTTCCGTCCATGACAGTCTTCCAGTTGCGCATTACAACTGTTTTAGCACTGATTACTTCGTCGCAGTGAAACTCCTAGATTATTGTCAAGCTGAAACCAAGCTGTTCGCTGCGTTCATTTCCACTGATTTCTTAGGCGGACGCGCTGGCTTTAAGGTGCTCTTTAAATGCTCAGGTTTAAAAAAGACCATAATATCTAACTCAATTTTCTGTACAAACTTTTCTAAATAAAATAAAGTAGTGGTAGTATTTGTAGGACCAAATCGATGATCTTCAACACATCCGTATATTTTTCGTTCACGCGATTTGAGAATAAAACATGCATTTACTCAATAGGCTAACAAGAACATTTGCTTTGACACTAGGACATATTCTTTCAGAGAGGATTGGCTTCAGTCTCAGACCTCTCCCTCAACCTTAATGACTCTTCAGTGTTGCGACGAGGGGGTGTGCCAAAGAAGCCCAATGCACTGGTCCCTTCTCTTAAGTCCATTATTCACCCTCCTCCTCCGATGGCAATGGTCCAACTCCTTGCTTTCAGACAGAGCATTTCGGGCATCTAACTTGACTTCGCGTGTTTGAGCTCCTCACCGGGACCACTCTAAGCCTTTCGCCTTGACTACCACCGATTATTTCCTCTGATACTTACACCATTGAAACCATTTGGACTGCTGAAAATCAAAATATGCGTATACATTGATTTGGATGGAAATATGGCAAAAAAACACGAGACAAAAGTTGGTCTAAAAACGTCTCTCTTCCTTCAAGTTGGAGGCCACGTAGTGTAGTGTATTTTCGCAATAATAATTTATTGGATGGATACACAAATTTGCCTTTTTATTTGCAAAACCGCTTTCACTGTGATTCCCTCTTGACATTTCCGGTGGAGTTTTTTGGATGTAAATTTTTTCCACCTATTGCACGTTACAAATTGTCCACAATGCAGTGCCTTCTCGTTCAACCACTTTGATCAAACAGGACTGTAAACCATGCTGCATGGAGCATGCTGCCATAGCAACACCACCAACATTTTGGTCATTCTAATCTTTTCGTTAATCTACTACACCATAGTGGTTAGCTATTACTTGGAGAAATTAAATTCTAGAAAAACAATCAGATAGTTTTAAGCTAAAACACTTACATGTCAGCTCCCTATGGAAATAAATTCATTAAATTAATGGATGTGGCCAACTTTGGAAAAAAGCAAATGTAATCATTTTCAGGTCCTTTTTTTACGAATCGTGTAATGTGCTTTACTATTTTGGTTCACAAATTGACAAAGAAGATATTTAGCAAGAAATTTTGAGAGGACTAAAATTATCCAGTAGGAAAGTGTGACCGTAAAAGGCTTTTTGTAGAAAGCAGGTACACTTCTCACCCCAACTGGTGCATTTGTCCGAACCTGAACAAAAGATGGAGAAGATAGGAAGATATCAATAAATGTATTAGTGAACTGGAAGATAGAGAGCAATGAACGCGTGTGAAAACGGGCAATACTAAAGGTTGGGAGGGGGTTGGTTAGGTCGGATCATTCATTTCGTTTATACAGCTTCAACTGCTTAAAAGATGCAATGAATTTGTGCATGTGTGTTCGCCAGTCTTCAATACTTCCAAGGCGACTTCACAGCCAGTAATCGGCGCCTGTCGGTTAGCAATAACATACAAAGGGCTCATTTGTCTAGAATATGTATAGGCTTATGCTAAAGTGTGTATGCCGGTGTGTGTGTGTGTATCTGGTTTAATTAACCGATTAAAAACTTCACTGTCCAAAGTTCCAGTAACCAAATGTCGTGCACAGCCGAGTAATGCGTAGTATTTGTGATATGTTTCAGTACGGCGTCTGGAGTCGCGCTTGTGAAGCGAGACAATGAAAGTCAAGAGAGTTGATTAGGAAGATGTTTTTGATCGCGACAGCAGAGAAGGTAGGAAGAATGCTAAATGCGACGATAAGTCAGTGTTGTGTTAGCTAGGATTGCGGTGCTTCTTCATGTGCAATGTGAGATGGTCGCTGCGTGCGAAGGCGCGTTGGCAGACGCTGCACTTAAAGGGTTTGTCTCCCGTGTGCTTTCGATAGTGTCGTGTCAGTTCATCAGACCGTGCGAACCGCCAATTACAGCCGACCCAGTCGCAAGGAAAGGGCTTCTCTCCGGTATGCACTCGCATGTGCGCTTTCAGATGAGAGGACTTGGAGTAGGCCTTGGCACAAGTGCCAAATGGACACATGTGTATCAAGGCAACGCTTTTCTTGGCTGAAGAAATGGTTGACTTCGGTCCACCACTACCACCACCCGCGGTCCGCATCCTCCGTCGCGTAGGCATCGACTTCACACCGAGTGTTGGTGGTGTGGCGGGCGGTGTCAATGCGTTTACGAGACTGCGTTGGGAGTAAAACTCGGCATCTTTTGAATAGATGAAGGAGGTCTGATAGACTGCTGCCGAGGGAGGTGGATGCTGGGAGGGATCTGGTAGGTGGGAGATTTGGGGGCAGAATTGGTATCCGACGCTGGGGTACCGAAGGTCGTCTTTGCGTGCGACCTTGAAGGCCGACGGGGGTAAAGGCGTTTGGGGAACGCAGGCAGTGCTGTAGAAGCTCGGTTGCTCCCAGCGTGTGGCAGATGGGGAAGCACCGAGTGTGGTGTACTGAGGAACGGAGACTTGGTCCAAATTTGAGGCGTAGGAGAAGCCGGTAGCAGGAACAGCGCCAGTGAAGACGGTAGTTGAAGATGGCGTTGTGGACACGGTCTTGGGATACATCATATCGGAGGTGGCGGTAGTGGAGGTGGTGGGGTTGGAAGTCGTATACTGAGGAGATTGGGCTAGAGGCACGAGGTGACCCCCGGTGGCGCTTGTTGAAACCAACGTGGTCGTGGAGGCCTCATCCCTCTGCTCCACAGAGCTGCTGAGGATGAAATCAATGTCGAGGCCTTCCAAATCGATTATCTGTTGCTGTTGTTGTTGTTGCTGCTGCTGTGGTGCGGTCTGCAGCGGTCCTCCTTGATGGCTCTCGAACCTGCTGAGAACACTGCTCGAGGTGGAATCACAAGTTGCCGTAGGAGTCACGGAGACGCCACTTGGGTAATACCCTTCAAACGTCGAAGAACCAGAGGATAAGCGTGTCTAAAATGTAAAAAACTCAATCTTATATTCAACGGTTCACAAACACGAATGCCGTTCGCCTCCTTTCGCCTGTTTATGGCCCATACGGAAGCAAATTAAATGTAAACGTGAGTGAAGCAAAACCAACCTTTTGTTTCTAAATGAAACATTAAACTGAAAGTAAGGGAAAAATTGTATGATTGCAAATTTGGTTTTGATAAAACTAACGGAAAAAAAACTCTTTTTAAAAGAGGACTGAGCTGGATCATTGAATCCCTACTATTTAAAATCCTCATCATTAGAAACATCTCTCTCCTAAAGTAGCCATTAGCTGCGTTGACTGGACTGTCAACACACTAGTACACCTAGTTGATGGAAATTCATGAGTACTCATTCAGCTACATCTACTACATCACCGACGAGGAGGTAGGTAAAAGCTTTTCAAACTTTACGCAAACTGCCAACTACCCTTTATGCGCGCGTGTTCGACCTTGGCGTCTCTTGACCACAGGGATGCATGAATAGAAGTGCTTTACTCCCTTGGGTTACCGCATTGGTATCTCCTACCCGTGTCTCCATTAGGACGCAATTGGCGCGCACTCGTTGAATGCCTGAGTAGCACCTGGTGGGTTTAAAGTGACGGTACCTATCCCTCGTGTGGGAAACCCCTATTTATAAAACTCCCTCGAATTTATGGTCTGGGATGACATCTGATCCCGCAGACTACATTAGTGTTGAATTTCCACCAACGAATAGCATTGCTGTGCATGAGCTTTATGAATACCCTTACGCAATTATAGATATTAATAAGCTACTTGGAACCTGTACCTATGCTTCAAATGGATAGGGAATGAAGTCTCAGTGACACAAAAGTTGGGGTTAGTCGGTTTTTGTTCACTTTTCGTGATACAATTTTGGTGGCGCAAAGTAAACCAGTGGATTTCAGGCACTTTTATTTACAGTGTTAAACTTTCCAATCCCTGGGTAGGTCTATGATGTAGACAACGGTAAACCGGCTAAGTATTTAAAGATGAATCAAAATTCGAATAAAAGCACGGAAGGTAGCGGTAATAACTAACGAATCAAAAGGGCCACTAAAATCCGGTGTATTGCCTGTTAGTTGTTATTACAACATTAAAATGCGTGCTACCGTAGTCCGTAAAAATACATTCCTCTTTTAGTAGGGGGACTGTGGATAATTATGCCCCGTTTAATGTCTCATATAGCCTGAATACTATAAAAGAGGAGAAATACTTTTTGAACAAAATGCCTCATCAGCGGTGCTCAGCTAGGCGGAAGACCAGGAGCCAGTTGAACATTACGAAGAGCAATGAATATTCGTAGCCGGAAAGGTAGACCATTCGTTAAAACTTTTGAAGTCATAGTTAAGGACAAAAGAGGGGTCTATCAAGTGAGTCACAAGCCCTTATCACAAGCCGATAGAAATTCAAATGTTTAGCTGGTAATAATGGTGAGAGCTTTCATAAAGCCGGCTCTGGTCAGCTTTGCCGTGAATATGTTTCTGTGGGATCGGTGGAAAATGCTCAAGCCCTTTCATTGCAACAATAATTTTGGTACGTATATTCACAATGAGGTTCACTACATGGACCTCCAGTCCAAGAACTTTAGCGATAGAGAAGAACATTACACGTTCTAGGTGAGGAGGTTTTAGAATAATCGTGAAAAGTTAAGTCAATCAAATCATAATTGTCCTCTTGTAAGGTAGTGGGTTAGTGATGAAGGGTGGCATTGCTATCAAACTTTTGCTTGAAAAACCATTTTACTTGGAGGATATTTGCTTGCTGCCGTGGCGAACGTCCGAAGGACGACCATTCATGTCGGCTTTGCAGTGGTGCTTGCAGGACAAGGCATGCACAGCTTCGTGGCTTTAGACCTCGTCTCCGTGGACTTGTTGAAACCTGATTTTGCAGAGCAACGAACTCCGCTCTCTCGAACGCCACGCGATGCGCGGTCTGCAAGTGTCTCAGACCGACAATGTGTAGTCATTTGGCTAACTCCGATGGCCATCTCAAATCCAGAACGCCCCTTTACTATCACAAATTATAGCTCGTCGCACAGATCGCTAGCCTGCATATAGATGAGTTTCTGACAAGGTCAAACAAAGCTTTTCATCATGGAACAAGTATTCGATTAATGGGGTATTGAAATGATTAACCCAATGGCTCTTTTAAAACATTTTTTTAAGAACTCCGATGGAACAGGAGAAATACGCATTTTAGTAATAGTTTTCATTTTTAAAACTTAGTCATTTAGCTTTAGTCTATAAATATTTATGAATGGCCTACCATCAAAGCCGATCCACCTGTTGTAAAATTCCGTTACTGACACAATGACGACCGGACGCTGACTACTGAAAAGGTTACCATTGCGACTTTAGTCGGCGTCCGAGTCAGGTGACTGCTGTATGAGCCCCACTGTCATGCTACAACACGGCGACCACCATTCCAGTTTGTGCAGAATACAGTATGAATTGTCTGAGGGTCAGAGGCTCTCACGTGTTAGTCCAGACAACATGGAGTCACGAGGCAGTTAACCCAAGTGCACGCTCCACTTACTTACAACCGCATTTATGAAAACCAAGAGTTCCTACTCATTTCATCAATTAGCAAATTTGCTAGAAGAATTGCTGTGCACTTTTTAGATTTTACGATGGAGTGCTCTGTTTGAGGTCCTACTGATCTAAACCAACACCCACAGCTAGACACTGACGTGTTTTTCACGCATAAATAACATTAGCTGCCACTATCTCGTAGCATGATTGCATTCCAGTTTGTAGAAATCAGATAGTATAACCACAGTTCCAAAGGCAAGACACATTCAACAAGGCTAGTACATTTTTGACACATCGGGGAAAACTGGTACAATCCTCGTCTTGTTTTTCAGGAACGCAGATACCTCCCCCAATAGCAGTCTCGCCTTGCCGACTGTGGATGCGCTTAGCAGGCAAATGTGGTAGCTCATGAAGCGATGTTATCAGTGGACTGACCACTTAATCCCGCCTAAAGGCGGCCACTACTGTTTCACCTCAAGTTGTCATTGTGTTCCCGCAGATGTATAAGTGCGATTTCGACTGGCATTCGTGTAGGAAGGTGGACCAGCATTGTATGGGCTTGGTAGGCATTCATTGACTGATTATATAAGTGACTTAAATTTGCTATTGACAAGAGGAGTTCGGTGAAGCGGTACAACATTAATCCATGTATTATACCCCTATAAAAATAAATCATGCATGTCAAAGGACTAAACTTGCCCTCAAGTGCTCACCTTGACTGGTTAATTTTATGCACAGAAAGGCAAAGGTTATGCTCAGACGAATGACCGCATTCAGTACAACAGTTTTGAATGGAAACGATAGCAAAAACTAAATATCTCTTACTGTAACAGTGTCACCTATATAAGCATGTTTCACGTAAAATGTTCCTTTGAATAAGTTAATGCATTTTACGCAATCATTGCATCTTAAAGATAAAGTGCTTGTAGATTTAGCAAGCGGTTTGAACGACAATGTCAAATTAAAATGTAATGGAAATACCTCTAAGAGGTCATGATACAGACGAGAGGTGCAACAGACCTTGTACTCGTAGCTATCTTGTAGAAGATGATTGGCAAAATTGTCAGGGATGTTGGCGGTGTAGCTCACGGCCATGATGACGGACACACAGGCCCCAGGACGATCGAAGACGTGGCTGTGGTTTTCTGTGGAAGCGTTGCGTAGGACTTCAGCTGAAGACTACCCAGGCCGGCTTGAGGCGTATCTTTGTGGCAGTGTGTGTGTTGCGGTTATTCGTACTCACGATGGTGTGAAGGAGAGTGAATGCGTGGTGCAATCTGGAGGTCTGTGCCTACGCGTGTATGCAATCAGCGGACAGTACTTTGCTCTGAGCATGCCTGCTCGCGCACGTACGCACGGCTTACGCTTTTCTGAGCACAGCTCAGAGATCCGATTGGCTGACGCGTGTCATGCACCACAGCTATTGGCCACGAGCATTCGCGTGGCCGCAAATCGATTGCACGCACCGCTACGTGCGCCCGTGCAGGTGGAGGGGAGGTAAAGAGGAGGAGGAGGGCATATGAGGAGGGGTGGGCAGTGGGAGACCTTGTGCCTGAGAAGGACAGAGAAGATATGGTATGTTTGTGTGTGTACGCGTGTATGGGTCATTATGCCCACGCGAGGAAACAACTATTGCGTTGAGTCATGTTTAGGGCTACGCACTGGTGCCAATTGGTGTAGGGCGTCGTCTTGACGACGGTGGAAATAACCATGACTAAATCCCTAATGCTTCTAATGCAAGACAATAAGGGCTTTCTGTAATGGCTGAAGAAGACTAGTTACGGAACCAAAGATGCTAGTGCTTTCATGCAAGTGAACTTAATAAGTTTGCTTTTCCAGTGTTTTACAGAAATTACATAATGGGTATTATTTCAGTTGTCCGACCATGTTGTTGATTGGTTTCAGTAGGAATAAGGTTTCAAAAAGTAGTTTGGCTTTCTTACTTCTGAGTAGAGGTGTCTCCCACATATTTCTTGTTATGTGATACACAGGTACCAAGGCAACAGAATTTATCATGTAATTTTCAACATAAAGCGATGAATACAAGATATATAAAAATGTGAGGTACATAAGTTAACAAATAATAAACTTTTCAAGGTGCTAATGTGGTTCATGGCATATTTTACAACTTGGTAATCTCTTATGTCTTATCTAATGGTAAGAGCTTATCGGTGACGTCGTGAAAATCTTGATTCCCACTGTCAATTTTAAGAAAATGCGTCCTAGTCCAATTTCTTCTCAAAACACAGTCTTTGTACCTACCTCATGAATTTATTTCAGTATGTTAGTATATTGAAAAATTTACGGATATCCAGATAGGATATTTAAAGTTGGTTGCAGTTGCCAATGGGAGACATCTTAAACGACAATGTTCACACACCACAAAGTTATGACGTGGCATAATTAGCAGCTAAACCCACAACTGTGAACGGAAATATTTGATATTAAACTTTGACCAAGTGAGCTGCGACGACAAGTAGAGGACTGTGGAATTCCATCGAAGTAAACTATTTCCGGCCCTGTTTGCAGAATAATAGATTTAGGCTGCAGGTTTTTTAACCGGTAAAACCTAATCTATTAGGAAAACCTTCTTGCCTCACTAGAGTAAAAAAAATGTCAGTTTAAATTGTTGAGATCTAAGACACTAGGGTAGGTGTACCGCTTTAGCAAAACAAATTGGTGGCCAGAACTACCCCACTGATAAGTTGGCACTAATTGAGGTGCAGGCAGACGTGT